TTTCTCACCCAATTCCTAGCTCCAGATGGGTGGTGGAAGGAGAAATCTGAACTCAAAGTTAAAAGGTAAATGAAACAGCCCTCAAAATTATAAAAGCCAGAGTGATTTCCTTTTTAAGCACTTAATTATCTCTAACAGGTTAAGCACCTAAACAACTGTGCTGGTTTTTGAAAACACAGCCTCCTGCAAGGTCAGTTCACCTCTGTTCAAGTTGGCTGCACCTTCTCTTCCTCCCCTTCTCCCTTCCTGGACTCTGGCTGGCTTTCCCAGTTTGAAGTCTTCTGCAGTGTTTCTGGTAAACTGCAAGGCTTATCAACCAGTCTCCTCATCCTCAAGGGTATATCAAATATCAAATGAAAACACACCAGAGTTGGACTAGCAATAATTTGGTCCTATAATAATTTTTAATGATTAGAGCAAGCCGACTTTCACTTGCAGGAGTTGGAGATGAAGAGGAAAAATTGTGATGAACTCACAGCTCTTTATTTGGTTTTCAAGGGTCTGGGAACAGAATGTGATATGTAAGCTGCATATTCCAAAGAATACAAAAAGAGCTGCAAGCCAATGTGGCCTGTCACAAAGATGACTTGTGCTGAGCTTAGTCATCTTTTTACAAAATTGTTCTGTTCAAGATTTTTCTGTCCAATTGTTGTCTCAAAGGTGGCTCTTGAGAATTCCAGCTGTCAAAGGATCTTCATGAGCCTAATGGGTTGAAAGAATCAAATGATACAGACTGTGATTGGAGCCTTACATGACAACAGTCCATTGGGGAAGCACTGATTGGATGATTGGGCATCTTAGTGAGTCTTTGAACTTACATGAGATTGACTATCTCTGAGTTGGACTTTAACAATGCCTTGTGCTATAGCTCGGACCTGGAATGTGCCCTCAAAGGTTTATGTGTTAAAGGTTTGGCCCCCAGCTTCATGCTGCTAGGGGTTGGTGAAACCTTTAGGAGGTAAGATCTGGTACAAGGAGGTTAGCTCACTGGATGTGTGTCCTTGAAGAGGATATTGGGACCTCAAGCACTTCTTACTCTCTCTCTTTGGTATTCCCAGCCATGTGAGGTAAGCAGCTTCCTCAGCTAGTGTATGCTTCTGCCATAATGTACTGCTTCACCACAGGCCCAAAAGCAGTGGAACCAAAGGACCAAGGATGAAGTCCTCCAAAACTGTGAGCCAAAATAAACCTTTCCTCTTTTTAAATTGATTATCTCAAGTGTTTTATGACAATAACAAAAGCTAACTAATGCATCTTGGAAGCTGAGCGTCTAGCCACTACCTGAAGGGGCAATGTCTCGACCAACCCCTTAAAGGCCAGTTGCTTCAATAATCACTGCCATCAGGATGGCCATGATTGGCAAATCGGCCACACCATGTGCTAAGTCTTCTGTTGTTTCATTCTGTTATTAAAACCATCATGTGAATCTTTCTCAGAGCTTGACAATGCCTACCTCACTATCTCAGAGGAAAGAAATATTCATTTATATGTGTTCTCATTCACAATTTCCACCCATGAAATAGTGATGGAAGTACTGAACTTGGCACAGGTTTGCAGCGGTGAAAAAAATGGAACATTCATCTTGCTTTGGAAGACAGTAAACAAGAAAAAAAAAAACCAAGTCATTACAAATTTTGACAATTCCATTAATGAAATAAAGATCATAAGGAAAGAAACTGGTAATGGCTGTTTTAGATTAAGTAGTTGTCAATCTCTATTTTAAAAAAATTTAAACACATAAAAATGTATGCCAATTTGTAAGATCTTGGCACTTCTCATGTGCAGTCCTAGTACTTCTCTTTTTGTTCATCCTTCATCTTACCCATAAGGGGAAGTTAAACATCTAGCATTGGTGGTTGATAAATTCTTGTTATGCCCACACCTGCAGCAAAATCCCACCTGGGCACAACTAACCAGGGACTGTTCCTCTGCGAGGGCTCTGGAAAATCCTTACTCACACTATTATTAAACATCATCCATAAGAATTTTCTATCCTAAGGCAGGTATGGTGGCACACACCTGTAATGCCTGCACTCTGGGAGGCTGAAGTAGGAGAATAGCATGTTTGAGCCCTGCCTGGGCAGTTTAGTAAGTCTTTGTCTCATTTTTTAAAAATAATAGTAAAAAGGTCTGGGAATGTAGTTCAGTGTGAAAAGCCTGAGTTTATTTACCAGCACTGGGAGGGGGAGAAGGAGAGAGGTAGAGAGAGAGAGAGAGAGAGAGAGAGAGAGAGAGAGAGAGAGAGAAAGAGAGAGAGAGAGAGAGAGAAGTAGGAGAGGGAGAAAGGAAAAAAAATGAAAGAATTTACAATCTGAAGGTCAAACTCCCTTAATATTGAAGTATGAGCAACATGTACAGTGACTGGTTTATATTTTAAAATTTTATTACAGTGAAAGGTGCATCACCCCCCTCAAAATACTCCCCCTTGCTTTGAACACACTTATCTCATCATTCTTGCCACTTTCTGAAGCAATTCTGGAAGTTCTCTTTCAATAGTGCCTTTATGACATGTGATTTTAAAAACACAGCAAATGTGATTGCCAAGTACCATTCAACAGAAAGACAGCCTCATAAAAATGTTACAGTATAAAACTAAAATCAAAATAGAGGGGCTGGGGATTTAGCTCAGCAGCACAGTTCCTGCCTGGCAAGTGTGAGGTTGTGAGTTCGATTCCTGGTACCGGAAAAAAAAAAAAAATAAAAAATAAATAAATAAAATAAAATAAAAATAGATGAAGATCTAAATATTAAAACAGAAACACTAAATCTGCTGGCAGATAGCATAGGTAGAACTCTTGAAGACACTGTTATAGGCAAAGACTTCATGAACAAAACCCCGACTCCACAGGAAATATTACAAATAATGAAGAATTGGGATCTCATCTCTTTAAAAGCTTTTGCACAGCAAGAGAAACCACCAACCGAGTGAAAACACAACCCACAGAGTGGGAAAATAATTTTAGCGAGCTGTTCCTCAAAGGACTAATATCTAGAATATATAAAGAACTTAAAAAAATCAGACCCTCATGTGGAAAAGTAGAAACAGCAAATGAATATATGAAAAAATGTTCATCACTGATCATTCAAGAGATACAAATATAAACAACACTGAGATATCATCTCACTCCAGAAAGAATGGCTATTATCAAGAAATCAACCAATAACAAATGCTGGCAGGTCTATGTGAATAAAAGAACCTTCTCCACTGTTGGTGGGAGAGTAGACTGGTACAACCACTGTGGAAATCAGTATGTAAATTCCTCAAAAAATCACTTGACCCAGCTATTCTCCTTGTTGATATCTTCCTGAAAGAATTAAAAAGCACTGTACCACACCAATATATGCACACCCATGTATATAGCAGCATAGTCTGTAATAGCTAAATTTTGAAAACAGCCCAAGTGCCCATCAACTGAAGAATGGATAAAGAAGAAGTGTTTTTTAATGCAATGGAGTACTACTCTGCCATAAAGAAAGATAAACTTGAGGCATTTCCAGGTAAAGGGGTGCACCTTGAGACCATACTCTTAACCGAAATAAATCAGACACACATGTTCAAATATCACCTGATTTCTCTTGTGTGAGCAACCAAAAGTGAAAGTAAGGATCAAAATATATAACAGACATTGTGAAAAAGGAAAAAAGTTTCAAATGGGAAGGGAAATTAGGGAGGGGGGAAGGGGAAAGGAAGGAAGGGAAAAGAAAAAGAAGAGAATGAAAGGAAGAAATGGAAACAAAGCTTACATAAATAAGGAAGGGAAGAAGGGTTGAGGGAGGGGAAGGAAATGGGAAAAGAAGAATCACGATATACCATGTACAGGTACAAATTCCATATGATGAATGTTATCTTTATGTAAACCTAAAATGCACCAATAAAACTAATTTTAAAAACATTACAGTGTATCTTTGACCACCTTATTCACCAGATCTGGCACAATCTGACTTCTAGCTGTTTCCCAGTTACAATGACTGTGAAAGGTAAAGCACTTTAAATCAATGTGGGACAGGGCTAGGGATTTAGCTCAGCCGCACAGCAGCAGCCTGGCAAGCACGAGGTTGTGAGTTCAATTCCCGGTACCAGAAAACAAACAAACAAACAAAAAAGGTAAATCAATGTGGGACACTAAAGCAACCACAAAAGTGCAACTAAAGACATTATCAAAAAAGAATTTCCAGAATTGTTTCAGAAAGTGACAAAAATAAGTGTGTTCAAAGCAAAAAGGGGTGTTGTTTTGAGAGGAATTAATGGCAATGTCATTTATTGTAATAAAATCATTAAAATTTAAACATTCACAGCACTTTTGATTGCAGCAATTAAAGCTTTATTTGTGTCTAATCAGACCGCCTTAGGATCTCTGTTGTATTCATTTTGCATCACCCATGGTGCTTAAATGACTAAGTATGCTGTGAGGTTGTTGTCGCTGTTTGTTTTGTGGTGCTATGGATCCAACCCCTCCCTGCACATGCAGGCAAACCCTCTACCCCTAAGCCACATCCTTGGTCTGTGAATTATCTTTAATATGTAAATTGGGATCATCTATAGCAAATGTATGTGTACTCTGTTTATCTTTAGATAATTTTGTCCTCTTAAAAAACTGTATGGGGGGTGCCTTTTCAAAATCCTTGGAAATTCTTATCCACATAGATGAAATTTTGTTCCCAAACTACTTTGTAACTTAAGGTGCTTCAAAAATATAAAACTCTCAAATGTCCAAAGTGTTTTCGAAATGGAAACCATCAAACCAATGTACCCATCAAATCCTTTCCACTGCTAATCTTCTTTGCCTGAACATTTCCTCTCACTACCAAAAGTAGTGTTGTCAGACGCAACACAGACCATTCAACTTAATTCGAATCTCAAATAAAAACCAGGTAACTCTCTGATGTGAAAACATTTCAAAAGTTGCATGGGGAATACTTACACTAAAATAGATTATAATAATTATAATCTCTTTTCCTCTCTCTCTCTCTCTCTCTCTCACTGTTTTTTTTTTTTTTAGTTACCTAAACAAGAATAGATACCTGACAGTTATTGACAAAGATGCATTCGGAGGAGTATACAGTGGACCAACCCTACTGTGAGTAAAACATAAAAGAGAATATTTTTGTGTTTGTTTTTTGTTTTTCATTTTTTTTTTACATATTTTGTAATAGAAGAGGAATGAAGAAGAGAAGCTGATATTCAAGAGTAGAGAATGTTGTCATCTTAGGTAAAAACTTTGCTAATATTTTCTGCCTGGATGTTCAAAGTACTTCTTGGAAGGAAGTTCTTGTTCTTTGAGACTCAGAAGACTCCAAGCCATAGCAGGTCCTTCTGATGCCTGGTCAGGGAGCCACCTAGCATGGATGTTGATGGCTGTTTCTATTCATGGAGTGGTAACTGTATGCAAAATTATGAGATATTCAAATACCAGAAGGCACTTTAGTCTTTGCCTAGAAAATACCCTGCATGTGTACTTCACAATACCTGGCAAACACAGTGATACCTTGATTCATAGTGGGAAGAAGCCAAGATTAAATGCATTTTTAAATCAGCTAAAAACATTTATTTTATCAGTGATAAAGTTCTGTCAATTGTTTCTCTCTAGCCATTTTTTTCCCCTGTATCAAGGAATGAACCCAGGGTCTTTACACTGAATTACATCCCCAGCCCTTTTATTTTTTGACACACGGTCTCACTAAGATTCCCAAGCTAGACTCAAACTTGCAATCCCCCTGCCTCAACCTTCTACAGTGCTGGCAGTACAAGTGTGTGCCACCACATTGGGATCCCTCCAGTCTCTTTATTAGTGCCACCATCTTCTCCATTCCCTTGGTTCTGCCCTAGTTTAGAATCTATCATTGAGCATCTAGCCTAGTCCTTGCCAAAGTGCAACACAGCACCAAGATGTGAGAGACCATTCCTTAAGAAAAAGGAATTGTTTATATTTTTGTTTTTAAATAAAAACAAATTAAGATTTATTAATATGTTGTATGCAGATGATTTTGGCCCTCAGGTGTCAGGTAGAGAATAGATGAATACTTAGAGAAAACTAGAGGATCCACAGTGCTAAGTTCTTGGCACCTTCACTATTTCACATTTAGCAATTTTACCTCACTTTTAGATTAAATGTAACCAGTCAAGTGGTTTGTGGCCCTATTCTCTTAAAAAGTGCTGTAGCAGGTGAGGAGTCACTGGTAACTCATAACAAATATTTAAATGCATTATGCTCTTTTTTTTTTTTTTTTTACAAAAGATCAGACAGAGGGGAAATGTGTTAACTTTTTCTGTGATGTCTCCATCAGTATTTCATTTGAATCTAGAAGTCATTTTTATCTGCATTCTCAAGGTAAAGGTGATAGTTCCACAATGAATGAGGCAAGTTCTTGCTTTTCTAAAGAAAGTCATACTGGAGTAACGCTTGAGAAACAGGTATCTGGAAATATTCACATATTTTGTGATTTTCCTGTTTTAATGGTAAAATGCCACACAAATTCTTTTAAAAAAAATCAGATATATAATTTAACTTTTAAAATCCATTAAACTGTTTGTATTTGCTCAGTGGTAACCCCCTACACACACACACATCTCCCATCAAACTGAAATGTTGAAGCCTATGTGGTTGGGGTAGAATGTCAACTTGACTGACTCTGGGATCCACCACGGACATTGTGGGAGCACACTGCTAAGTGGGTCATGCAGGCAGGGCCTTGGGGTGTATATCTGGCTCTTTGCCTCTTCCACTCTGGCACTGTTCCTTGTTCTGTTTTGTGATTGCCATGAACTAAGCAGCTTTATTGCCCAACACACTTCACCATAATGTCTCTGCCTTGAGCCATGTCTTTACCATTCACCATAATATCTCTGTATTTTTACAGAGGTTCATAGCTAAGAGTTTGCCTTGAGTCTCAGAAGGGAGTTGGACTTTTGAAAAATGCTGATATTAGTGAGAGTTTGGGGAAAGGATTATGGCATTTCAGGCTATACTTAGGATAGTTATGTTAGGCAGACAATGGACTGAAGCATAGTTATATTATGTTAGTACAACAATGGACTGAAACAATAAGCAAATTAAACATCTCCTTCTTTAAATTATGGGTGTTGTGTATTGTGTCTCAGGGACCAGCAAGCTAGTGCCAAAGAAGTGGGATTGTTGCTATGATTGTACCTGACCCAATGCATGGCAAGCTCAAGGGTGCAACAGTGTCAACCTTCCATTTGAAAGGAGTATCCCTGGAACTCCCTGCTCAAGAAAAACTGTGTAGGAAATTGGTTACCTGGGATTCACTTCACCATGCTTAGCAAGTCAAGCACTTCAAAGCTGCTATAGCCATGTTCCAAGAGCATCTGGCTATTTCTTTTTCTGGGAGCAGACCTTGACATTGGTCATGTAATGCTAATTTTACCAGCATGCAGAATGCAAGAGTTGTGGGGTCAGGAAGACTTCCACCAAGATTTCAAAGGAAGGCCTACAAAGCCAGGCAAGGAGCCTCCAACAGTAGTTTGTGAAGTGGTGGGAATGAAGCCAAACTTACTGTGGAAGCCCAGGAAGTTGGAGCTGCCCAGAAACATAGCATGTCTGTTAAGAAAAGCTGTAAAGCACAAAATGAGGCAGCCAAAAGAGGGGCTGCAATCAATAATAGCATAGGGATGGGGCTGATCAGGCCCTTGGAAACCCATATGTCACCCCCATGTTCCCCAAAAGCCAGATATAGAGCTACATGATTTAATGTTTGCTCTGCTGGGTTCCAGTCTAGCTTTGATCCAATTTTTTTATCCCTCTATTTGTCCCTTTTATTATGGAAATGTTTACCTTTTGTCATTGTACCTTGGGATTGTGTAATTTATTTTTTTATTTTTACAGAGGTTCATAGCTAAGAGTTTGCCTTGAGTCTCAGGACTTGGACTTTTGAAAAACACTGAAATTAGTGAGAGTTTGGAGAAGGGGTTATGGCATTTCAGCCTGTACTTAGGATGTTATGTTAGGCAGAATTATGAAGTTGCTATTTTATTTATTTATTTATTTAGTCTTTTTGAGACAGGGTCTTGCTATGCAATTCAGGCTGGCCTTGAGCTCATTTTGTATCCCAGGCTGGTCTCAAACTCACAACTATCTTCCTGCCTCAGCCTTCCAAGGGCTGGGATTACAGGTATACGCCACCATACCTGGCACTGTTGTTTTTATTTAGAGATTAATCATGGTTTAAGGAAACATATTTTGATAGCAAGTTGACAGGTGCTGGGATGTCGTGGTAGCAGTGGAGTTTCAATTTGATTGGCTTTAGGATCCACCCCAGGGGATTGGTAGAAGACACTTCCAGGTATATACGAGTGGGTCATGGAGGCATGGAATTATGATCTATATCTTTGTTCCTCACCTCTTCCACTCTGGTACTGTTCCACTGCTCTGCTTTTCTACTACCATGAAATAAACAATTTTGCTCTGCCATATCCCTCTGCCATGAGGTTTCTTCCTTGGAGTCAGATTATTATGGGTTGAAAACATGAGCAAATTAAGTCTCTCCTCCTTTACACTGAGGGTATAGGGTATTATGTCTAATCAGAAAGTTGACTAACACAACATCTCAATGTCTAGCATCTTAGAATGTGGCTCTATTTGGAGATAAAATCTTTAAAGAGGTAATTCAATTAAAATAAGGTCATTAGGCTGTACCCTAATCAAATCTTACTAGTGTTCTAAAAGAAGAGGACATTAGAACATAAAGAGAGATACCAGACAGGCAAATGCATAAAGGAAAATCCATGTGAGGAGAAGGTAGTCATATATATGTAAGGCAAGGAAAGGGGCTTCAGAAGAAACCAAATTTGCTCATGCCTTGATCTAAGAATTGCAGCATCCAGAATAATAAGAAAATAAATTTTTGTTGCTTAAGATGCCAAATCTGCAGTAGTTTTTATGATAATCATTATGGTTTATAACTAGATATCTCCCAAGAGCCTCATACACTCACAGGTGGGGCTTTTAGAAGATAATCGGATTATGGGGAATTAGAAGGTAAAGTCTGGTCAGAAGTGGCAGGTCACTGAGAGTATAGCCTGGAAGGGTTTATCTCCCTCCTTGGTTCTTCCCTTGATCTGTCTCTGCTTCCCATTTGTCATGCATGAGCAGCTCTCTGCAGCTCTCCTCCACCATGTCCCCCTGCCATGCTGACCTGCCTTGCAGCCAACCAACTATGGACTGAAACCTCAACAAATTGTGAGCCAAAATAAACCTCTTTCCTTAAATTGTAGGTGTCAGGTATTGTGTCTCTGCAACAGAGAAGGGAAAATGGGCACATTTTGTTTTTTCTCATAGTTCATTGTTAATTTATAGAAATTATATGTCAATTTTGTCATCTCACAATTTTACTGAATTCATTTATTAGTTCTAATAGGTTTTGGGTGGAGTCTTAGGGTATATAAAATCACATCATCTGCAGAGACCATATTTTATTTCCTGTCCTATTTTAATGCCCCCCTTCTCCTCCTCCTCCTCCTACTGCTCCTTCTTCTTCTCTTTCTCTTTTTCTGTACTGGGGAATGAATGTAGGGTCTTTATACTGAGCTACATCTCCAGCCACTTTGTATATTTTATTTTGAGACAGGCTCTCACAAACTTGCCTAGGCTGGGTTCAAACTTATGATGCTCCTCTCTCAGCCTCCCAGAGTGCTGAGATTACAAACAAACCCAGCTCATTTTATTTCTCTTGCTTACCCAATTTTTCTGAGTAGGAATTTCTGTACTACATTGGCTATAAGTGAGAACATGGAAAACAGACACAAGAACAAAAAAGAGAGAAAGTAACAGAGACAAGGGAAGGAACTAAAAATTTCTAAAGTTATAAGAAATATCTTTCACATAAATGAAAGAATTCCTTTTACAGAAATATTCAGAAAATAAGAGACTTTGGAAATAAAAAATATGATAGCCATAGCAAAAAAAAAAAAGCAAATTTTGTTTTAAAAGATAAAGTGGAAAACATATCCCAGAGCTAGAAAAATGTAGAATAGAGAGAAGAGAAGAGAAGAAAACTAGAAGTCCAAGCCAGGTAGTCAAATACCTAATTAACAAAAGTTTTAGGAAGAAAAGCAAATACC